TTCTGGCAGTTCTGTCAATCTAGTAATTTTTTAATATCTTAAGATTTGGCTTGCATATGATATTGTCTGATGAGTTCTACATTCTGTTGGATCACCGGTTTTGAGAATGGAAATAAATGTAGAACTCTTCTAGTCAGTTGGCCAGGTAGTTTGTCCTCCAGATTCACTGGCACAACCTGGCAAGCAAATCCAGGGCCCCATCTGCTTAAATATGTGAATTGGTAATCCCTGAATTCCTGGGGCCTTATTTGTTGCCAATACCTTCAGAGTAGCTTCAACTTCATTGATCATATGCTGTTTTCTGAAATAGTTGTCAGCCAATTCTTTCTGGTACAGTTGTTGCTATTGTTAGGCACCATTGAGTTGGAAATAATGACTCCAATTATTTTTTCCATCATTTGATGCTTCCTGTATCATTCAAGGTTTTGCCCATAGTACCTTTCAGTATTGCAACTCAAGGCTTAACCTGTTCTTCAGTTCCTTCAGCTTGAGAAATGCTTAGACCTTCCCCTTTGATTTTCTGACTCCAACTCTTTTCACATTTTATTATAATACTTTGCTTTGTCTCCACAAGCTGCCCTTGAAATCTTTTCAACTTTTTCATTTCTTCCTTTTATTTTGGCTTCTCTTTGAAATTCTAGTGTAACACTCAGTCTCTTCTAACATCTATTTTGGTCTTTCCTTCCTCCTGTCTTAGCAATTACCTTTTGCTTTCTTCATGGTTAATATCCTTGGTATCATCCCAGAGCTCATCTGGTCTTCGTGTTCAATGCCTCAAACCTGTTCTATGTTTCTGGTTTGTGGTGTTTTTTTTTTAAATTTAGGTAAGACAGAGTCGTATTTTGGATTGTGTGGGTTTGTTTTCATTTTCTTTAGTTTCAATTTTAACTTACACATAAGTCATTGATCGTGTGTTCCACAGTTAGTACCTCACCTGGTCTTCACAGATGATAATGAGTTCTTCAGAGTCTTTCCACAGATGAAGTCAATCTGATTCCTGTGTAATTCCTTCAGGTAAGACCCATATGTATAGACACTGAGTATTGAGGGTTTCCAAATTTTGATGAGTGTTGACTTTATTAAATGTCTTTGCCAGCCATAAATTTGACTTGACCGTGTGAATGGGTGGGAGTAAGTGAATAGGTCATGTTAGCCTATCCACAAGGGGATTGGCTCGTCTTACCAATCAAGAAGATTGGCTAGACTCGCCATTAAATTGAATGCATCCAGCAGAGAATGAGTCTCTCTCACCACCAGCAAAGGAGAAATAGGCATGCAGTTGGCACTCTTCAGGACCTTCTTGTGCCAGCTAGACTACAGCAGAAGCAGCCATAGCCCAAATAGAGAACTAGAGAGCCAACATGAGATGGAGTAGATCTAAGCCCCACGGACAGAACCAGAGCTAAGCTAAGGGCCTCTGCCCAACTTCATTAGACAACTGGGGCAGGGTGGGGAGCCAATATTGGCAAGACTGAGAACTAACACTAGTCTAAAGCTGTTAATATCAAGACTAAGGTGCCTGTGAGCATATTTCTGAAGTTGTCCCAACTGTATTCTGTTAACTTGGATTACAATCTTTTGACTTCCCTAATGGCTCAAAATCGGGAAGGGTGTCCACTAGGAATGTATTATTTCTCCATACTTTTTCAGTCTATATGCAGAACATATCATCCAGGATGCTGGGCTGTATGAGGAATGTGGCATCAGGATTGGTGAAAGATTCATCTATAATCTTCATTAGGCAGATGACATAATCCTGCTTGCTGAAACTAAGGAGGACCTGAGGCTCTTGCTACATAAGGGCAAGGACTGCAGCCTTCAATACGGATTGAAGCTCAACATCAAGAAAACAAAGATTCTCACCACTGGGCCAACTGAAAGCATCAGTATGGATGGTGAAGAGATTGAGATAGTTAACAATTTTAGTTTGCTTGGCTTCACAGTCAACACTCGTCGGACCAACAGCCAGAAAATTAAGAGATGAATTGCTTTGGGAAAGTCAGCTGTCAGGGACCTCTCCAGAGTACTGAAGAACAATGGCGTCAGGCTGGAGACTAAGGTGTGCCTGATTCAGGCCATAGTCTTCACAATTGCGTGCTATGCATTGGAGAGCTGGACAGTGGCTAGCGATGATAAAGAATTGATGCTTTTGAGCTGTGGTGCTGGAGAAGTGTGTTGAATATACCATGAAGAGCTAGGAGAACAAACAGGTTTGTCCTGAAGAGGGTAAAACCAGGCTGCTCCTTGGAGGCAAGGATTCTGAAGCTTCGCGTGACATACTTTGGGCATGTTGCAAGGAGGGATCAGTCCTTGGAGAGGGACATCATGCTTTGGAGAGTCGAGGGACAGCGCAAGAGAGGAAGACCCTCGATGAGATGGATTGATTCAGTGATTGGCATATAACAACATCTATTAAAGTGAAGGTGTTTCTCACTAGTAGGTATAGCTTCTTGCACAAAAATCAACACAGATAGGAAAAATACCTGCCTGCTATTTCTCCTATTGTCCAGGTGAGTTCAGTGCTAGGTAGGCAAAAGGTGGGAAGAACAAGGGTGGTTCTTCAGGGAGATTCGCCTCTCTGGCAGTTTCCCACTGAAGGCTGGCTCTAGCAGATTTGTTTTGAAGAGAAGACACTACAGTCTGAGAAGCATATTTCAAGTCAAGAAAGACTAATTTCTAAATAGGCACATCATTAGTAGGCTAGACTAGAGAGCACCCTTTTCTGGGTGCTGAAAACTACTTATGGAAGAGGATAGCAGAGGAATGCTGCCACTCAGGAAAATAAAAACACCTCAGGTATAAATGCCACAGGCTGGTCCATGTGGTCAACAGAGGGCAGATGCTGTCATAGCAGAAGTGGGAATAGAGCACTCACTTTAACAGAATCAACTGAATAGGTTAAAATTTATTAGATTACCAATATCCAATAGTTGATTCAACTAAAAACCAAAGGCTCCGAGACTAAGCAAATGCTGATTTGATCTAGGCTTGCTGCAGCGTATGCCTGGCACCAGCCACAGGGGGCATCACTGGAAGCACAATAGCAATGCAGACCCCCAGCCTTTACTCTGGACCCATTGCCTCGGAGACCAGTAGGGGTATTTCTGTACAGACGTATTTGAAAAGTATGGGAGCTCCAGTAAAGACCAGGGTCAGTAACAGGCTTAGGGAGATGACACTACCATTCACTCCCAGAGTCTGTTTCAGAGTGAAAGTAGTTCCAAACTATAACTCCCAACCTCTCACTGACATTTAAATAATGTGCTGTGCACATAAGAGGAGTGGCAGGGAAGCAGAGGGGAAAAGTGACCCTGCCCAGCCACTTGCAGCTGAGAAGCAGTGAACAACTAACAAGAGTATCAGATGATTTTATTTAGAAAATTTAGTAACATTTCAAAACCAAAGGCAACCTACAAAAGAAACATACCAAGACTCATTAGTTCTTATAGGATAGGAAAAAACCTTACTCAGCCCATGGTTCTTCTGAAACTTAAGAAGTGAATTTCCTCCCTTGCTCTTGGGCTCTGGATTTCCCACCTTATACCAAGAGAGGAACCTGGCCACAGATTCATGTGAAAGAAGGTCACAGTGACTTTAAAGCCATTTGATGCTAATAAAGCCATTTGATGCTAATGGTTTATACATTCTAGTTTGCAAGTCAAAAAAACCCTATCAAATAACATTGCCATATCCCCACTCCCAGGTAACATTTCCTGCAATTCCTAGTTACTGACATTGCATCTTTGGGATTGCATCAAAATCCCTTCATTGTAGTTTGGTTTGGTTTTGTTTTTTTTTTTTTAAAACCCAAGCGATCCTGAAATCCAACCAGAAGCATAAAGGTTTGTTTCAGGACAGCCTCAGAATGCTGTAGTGTTGTTCTCTGTAGTGTCACCTGAGTGTCATCCCCATGGATGTGCTAGCCAGACGGCAGCACAATCTGGGGTATCTGGTCCACTTTCTGTCAATCTTGCTCCCTGGTTGCCTAGAAACTGTCTCACGGTCAAGGCTGAAATCTTCAAGTCAGTGAAGGCCTTGGCCTGTCTTCATCTGGAAGTTGGACTCATAAGAAGTTGAAATGAGTTCTTCACAGCTTTAGTCAATTGAAATGAGTTCTTCACAGCTTCAGTCAGGCATACTCTAAAAACAGAAAAGATAATCATATGATGCTTTGTTGTCAGAGACTACATCTGTGTAATTTTATGTTTCTAAAGGAATTTACAATTAAATTAGCCAAGATGAAGTTAATGCTTGGTATTCCTTGACAGACTCAAGGTCTTCTCCCTATACTGACACAGAAAGGTGATGCCTCTGCAGTTGAGAGGCTGGGCTCTGGCAACAAACAATTCAACTGCTTAGATATGACTTACTAAGAAAAGCAGGCACCTAAGAGGATTTGAAAAAGAATACCAATGGGAAGAGGAAGGGGGCAAGGCAAACTCTAAAGGCTCCCAATAACAGCGAGTAAAAGTATCACTGTATCCTTGCTGATCTCTACTAATTTTAACCACTAATACCTCCAAACCAGGCAAAAGACATTTTTTGATTTTTGAAACCTCACATTTGGGTGGACGGGGGTGGGGGGGGTGGGGGGTGGAAGAAAAAGTACTCCTGAGGGAAGAATCCCATGGTAATAAGTGAATTCTGATAAACCTAAGTCCCTTTTAAGTACAATTAACTCATGTCCAAGGGAGAGACTCATTTAAACCATTTCAGAAAAACAAGATTTTTATTTGTGTTTCTCTTGTGCACATTAATCATCCCAGTTGGCTTCTAATGAAGTATCTATTCACAGCTTAAATGTTTATGGCTCTGGCGGCACAGAAACATCACACTGTGACAGAGGAAAATGCTATTAATTAGTTCTCAGGGAAACCTGACTTTTGACAGAAGATGCTCACTTGCAGTAAATACTTTCCTCAACAGCTAAGAAACCTGGCTCCCAGTATATGACCCCAGAGCAGAATGCCCCAAGATAAAGGATGATCTGGATGGCAAACCTTAAGATGCCTCCTGGGATGAAGCCGTTGGGTCCTGACTCTCAGGCTCTGGAGGAGGAGCTGGTGGGGCTTCTTTCTTCTGGGCCGCCAGGAACTCATGAATTGCTCGTTCTATCTGTGGCCTGAATATGTGGTTTAGTTTTGGATCCACCACCTGGGAAATAATTCTGTCTACTCCAGCTTCCAGCATTCCTGATCTTGGGAAGACAAAAAGACCATTCAATTATGTACTTACTTTGAGATTCATTCTCAGCCACAACTTGTGCCCAGTAAATTCCCATCTGGTTAAAACTTTAGCCCTCCTAGGGAATTCTTTCAAAGGGCAAACCATTTATCACACACAGTCTGAGGCACTCAATTATGTGTTTTGGGAGCATATTCCCAAGAAGCAAGCATCTAGCCCTCCTAATTCACATTCTGGCTCACTACCAGGTCAACCTCACACAGAGGAACCAAACAAACTAAGTAGACAAGACATACACATGACAATCTGACAAAAAATATGACACTGCAAGAACTAGAAAATCTTCACCACACCATCAAAAACTAGTGAGCAAAAAGTCTGATTCCATACCTCTCAATAGTGACTCTCTTAAGATAAAGCAGAATTGCCTCCCAGCAGCAACGTGACTATTACAGATAGTCCCTGACTTACAGTATATTCAAATTACAATGAATTGCACATAGGTTCATCCGGGGTTTCTTTGATACATCCGTTGGTAACAGGCAATACATACAATGTTGCAGCACATTATTTGAAGATATTCTCAGATAGGCACTTACAGATGTCCAAAGCTTTGATTTATAAAGATATTGCTAAAAGACAGTTGTTGTTGTTATGTACCATGGAGTCGTTTGCGACTCGTAGCAACCCTATGTACAAGAGCCCTAAACGCTGTTCTATCCTGTGCCAACCACGCTGTCTCAAACTCATGCCCACCACTCCACTCACAGAGTTGATCCATCTCAAGGGTCTTCCTCTCCCGTGCCGTCCCTCAACTCTTTCAAACATGATATCCCTCTCCAAGGACCAGTCCCTCTTTGCAACATGCCCAAAGTATGCCAGACGAAGCTTCAGAATCCTTGACTCCAGAGAACATTCTGGCTTCACCCTCTCCAGGACAAACCTGTTTGTTCTCCTAGCAGTCCATGGTATATTCAACACTCTTCTCCAACACCACAACTCAAAGCCATCAATTTTCTTTCTGTCATCCCTATTCACTGTCCAACTCTCTGATGCAGAAGCACATTAATTGCAAAGACTGTAGCCTGGATCAGGCACACCTTAGTCTCCAGCCTGACGTTGTTGCTCAGGAAAATTTGTAAGCTACTGCAAACTCAAGTCTTCTCTCACATAGGTAGTGGTTATTGTTGTTAAGTACTGTCAAACAAACAGACTCACTGCTGAACCTCCAGCAGATTTTCTGAAGCAGGAAATCACATGAGAGGAGATCAACCATCTTTCTCCTGTGGAGCAGCTGGCAAGTTGTACTTACTGGCATTCTCAGGCCATTTCAGTCTTTACTTGGGTAAAAACAAGTCCTGCACTAACTGGTCAGAAGGCCTGCTAGGGTAGACCAAAGGAAACAAATGAGTGAACACTTGGTGACAAAGTGAGAAATGAGCTTACGGCTGGAGTTAATGGTGAAGACCAGCTTAGCAACAGGAAGCTTTGATGTCAACACACAATTAGTAAAGAGTATTTATAGAGCCCAGCTTCAGACAGACTCTGCATCAGACCTCCTCTGCCCTTAAGATTGGGCACAGGAAGCACAGTGAGGTCAGCTTCAGACCTTGGGTCAATTATAAAAAAGATCAATGTCTCTTTATTCAGAAGCCAGTATTTTCCTGAACGACACCCCACCACCTCCCCAAGCCACACTTATGAGGTCTGTATTGGAAATAAAAGCTCTATTAGGGAAAACAAAGGGGACTCTGGTGACATAGTCTATCAATAGTCTAACCCTAAGGCCAACCTCTCTCTGGCAGTTTGAATCCACCAAGTGGCTCCACAAAAGAAAGATAGTCAACCTACTCCTGTGTAATTTACAGCCTCACAAAAATCCACCGGAAGGTAAGTTATGAGTCAGTTCCAACTTGATGGCACTGACGGAGAGAGAATGAAGTACCAAGAGAATACAGCTTGCTTTCTGGAGGATTTTAAAAGAAAGTGTTTTGAGGAAATGTCAAATTTTATCAGTATCTAAAACAAGAAATGAACAAATATTAGGCCATTAAGACTTATTGGGTACATGTTCAACAATCTACTATTACATAAGCAAAGCCACACAGGCTGTAGAAATAGAATTGGGCAGCAGAGCCTGGGCCCATGCAGGCTGGCAAGCCCTTCCAAGAGCACGCAGTGTCCATCTGGACAATGTCTCCACTCAAGCACCAAATTTTCATTTCAGCACCTCCTTAGATCTTGTTTAAAATGCTAGTAAGAATGAAAACAAATTCATTTACCATTAAATCCAAATACACGCTTTTTATTGATTCTACATTAAGAAATTCGAAAAAATTTACACTAATTAAGAGAATCTGTTAAGCCTCAGGAGAGGGAAAAAAACCACAAGTAAGGTAGCATATCAGAACTCCTGAATCAGCTTTTCTAGCCCTTGTGTTAGCCCCTGTTTGATGGGCATGATCTCAAGTTACTTAATCTGCAGACACATGGTCTTGCAAATAATCAATAGCTGTAAGACTAATTATGCGAGTGCTTTCCACACTATGAGAGAAGGCTGTGAAAGTGATAAAGAGAGGGTGAAGAGACTATGGCATTGTTGTGAAGAGGCCATGACAAGGTGTAACTCAAGGAACCCTGGAGATAAAGGCCCAGTTAAGGTTTGTGCTTGCTGGATAAGTGAAGGAAAAGCTAACTTTTACCTTTAGAGATAAAGTTGCCTGGATGCTTGAGGAAACCAGAGGCTTCTTGCATTTGTGCTGAACTGTTACTTATTGATGAACTGTGTCTTGTTAATCTGATTTAGGGTTACACCTGGATTTGATTTTGTGTGATTTAATCTTTGCCTCCCCACTCCCCAACCTATTTCCTTAATAAACCCAACAACTATGAGTAGTCGGTGAGTCTTGCAATGAAAATAGGACCCAATGACTTGTGTAAAAATAGGTACAGGAGCATGAAGAGTGGCATGTCTGACTATGTAGCTATCTGTCTGGTGCTATGGACATTACTGACAAGGAGAATTTTTCTTTATGAAATGAGAAGTCAACCTTAGCCACCCTCACGGTCCATCTGCTCCTTTTGCAGAGGGCAAGGACAGGAGAGCCAGGGGGAGGGTTGGGAAGGTGTCAATAATGCTCTTGTTCTCAGTCTAACAGGTGATCACTAATTATTATATTGTACTTCTGTGCACTTTTCTATTGTATTGGCATAGGATCAAACTGTTTTTGTTGTATTGTTCTCATAGGGTTGCTGAGTCAGAGGCACCTAACAACAACAAAACCAAAGTACCACATAAATACACTGTGCTCATTAACAGCAATGTTGATAGCCCGCATACCATTATTAGCACCTTTGAGAATATTCAGTTTTGATTCTTAAAATGTTGGCCAATCTTTCTGAAGACATGGCAAATCTAAGCTTATCTAATCTGCTATTTTAGCTATAAAATACCAACAGCACACACAAGAGCCAGGCTGGAGACACAGTCCATTAACAGCACTGTCCCTTTTTTCCTAATAAATCTCTGGACCATCAGTCTGTTCCCAAGGGAAACAAAAAAAGTTCAGGGTAATGGCTAAACAGATCCTTTAGTTGACAAGGCACCTCACATCCTTTGAGAGCATGTTTCTTCTTTAATGGATCTTACAAATTTTAGCTTTCTTTGTTTAAAAGGGTTCAGACAACAATGGCCATATGCCATATTGAAAGTTTTAGCTTACTGGTAAAAAGGCATTCTGGCACTTTTTAACTTATTTAATAATTATAGGTTCTATGGCTCATTTCTACTTCTGTATCCAGGAAGCTGCAATGATGTATACAGGAAGGATTATGTATGCTCTACCCAGTTACCCTCATGTTAAGGCTTTGCATATCTAGAGTTCCGTATCAAAACCGTATCAACCATATCAAACCATGCCAATATCAAAATGACAGTGGCATAACCCACAGACCTTAGCAAGATTTCACCCATTAGTTACACATAAAAGCTCTACACAATTTTACCTAACAAGTAGCTTGGTTTCACTAATACAATCAAGACATGTAACTGTACCATGAACAGAAGGTTAACTCTTGCTACTCTTGTACAGTCATAATAACTTCCTCCCAAATCCCTAGTTTCTGGCAAACACTAATCTCTTTTTCATCTCTATTATGTGTTACTTGATGAAAATCATTTAAATTAAATCATGCACCATGCATCCGTTTCTCCACTTAGCATAATTTCTCTGACTCTTCTATTTTTCAATCGTTAGGCTTCAGGACTTTTTATTCCAGGAACATGCAGTAGATCAAAAAGGTCTGAACACAAGTGCAAGTAGTAAGAACCAATAAAGATCCCAAATAGATCAGAAAAAAGCTTATTTTCTCATGGGACAAGATGATTCCATGGCTCATCTCTACTTCTGTGTCTAATGACATATGGACAGGGTATCCACAACATAGTCCCAACACTGACATTTTGGTGGAACACATATATATAGTATATATATGTATGTTGTAACTAGGTAAAAAATTTCAGAGCAGGGATATCATTGGGATATCTGGGGTATCATTGGATGTACCCCACAGAGAGGTGCATAGGAAGCCTGCCCAGGCTGGACAAACCGGTAAGAATTTCAGTATTCTGTATTAAGGAAGCTCTGGTAGCCTAGTAGCATAGGATTCAAATTGTGCATGAAAGATGGATAATTTCTTCCTGTGTGATTTAAAGCTTCTGAAAACCACTGAAGGTCTGCTATGAGTCTGTTCTAATAGCATCAAACACCACCACCACTTTGCTTTAATCTTAATGATATTAATATACTTCTCCCCATCAGATGTGATCTGACTTAAAATACCCACACCCTGACAAATGCCTTACATAAACCATCTCGTGCCATCAACTTCTGAGCACTCTCTGCCACTCAAAGGTCTGCTTACTTACTGAACCACACTCTGTCTGAGACCATTTCGCAACTGGTTTTTGTTCATCGTAGGATTCCATTCCTGCTTGTCCAGATGTGTTGACACAAAATTATCCACTTTTTGCCTCAGGTTTTGGTAAGCTGGCTGAAATATTAAAAAAGGGGGGAATGTAACAAATACAGAAAAATATACAAAGGTTTAATATACCAAACACTCAGAAGATGATCATTTAGAGCACTGCTTCTCACAGATGCATAGTTTCCTATGAGAGCACAATACCAACTGCTTTACTGAGTGTTTATCAATTATTTTGAGCTCTGGTAGCCTCTTGGGCAAAGAGTTGTGCTGTCAACCCCAAAAGACAAACTGTCTGAAACCACTAACTCCTCAGAGGCAGAAAGATGAGCAATCAACTCCCATGCTCTTCACAACTTCAGAAAACCCACTGGACAGGCAGATAAGGGGTGGTTCCAATTTGACGGCAATGCACTGCATTGCTACAAGGGAGGTCCTAGTCTATCTCTTCTCCACACTGTAGATTAGAAATCTGGGCTTAGAACATAACTATTTACCCAAATGACTAAAATGTGGAATAAGCCAAGGTTAAAATGTGAAAAAAAAAAAAAAAACCAGGCTGCTTCTGAATCACAGGGTCTGAGTTCTTACCCTGGTTTCATCTCTTAATAGTCACCTTGCTTTCAACACCTGAGTCTAATTTCTAGCTCTAAAACTGAAATGTCACTGCCCTATTCTGACACACTCCAAGGCAGAAAGCAGCAGGTACCACCCCGTAAAGACTGACAGCCTTGGAAACCCAGTGGAGAATCAGTATGAATCAGAACTGACTCAGCAAGAGGGCTCATTTGGTTCATTATTTCACTGGGGCAACACAGTCCCAGGAAAATCCTCAAGATGAAATGAAAGACCACTCACCCCTGAGTAGATTAAGTATGGAGACTTAAGTCAAATCTTTGAGGCACTGTGAAAGGTTGGGGGCAAGCAAGACATAAGTCTGTAAAAGAATATTCTGTTTGAGAGGCACTTAATTGGTCTTAAATACTCTAGACCCAACTACATCAGAATTAGAAGTGACTTGATAAATATAAGGAACACACATCTTGAGCCAAAGACCTTCTGGCTCTCAGTGGCTCTCCTCTCTTCCAAACCAGGTGTGAGTTTATAGACTGCTGGTTGGCACTTCACACTGCCTGTCCTCCCACAGTGGGCAGCAAATGCTTTTTCACATCAGTGGTGCTGAGCCTGGCTCCGATTTGCTGGTTCCTGGAAGGTGAGTAACATGAGGCCTTGAGTGTGCTTGTGCATCCTGACTTGGCTCTTGTGCTCCTCTGAGATGTCATGTCTTAAGACAGCCATGGCCTTCAAACCTGGGATCAAGAAAGCATGTATGTGCAGCAACCCAGCTACCCAGGAGAACCCTGCCAAAATCTGCTGAATTTAAGCTGACCTGCAGCTCTAGCACAAGTACCAAACCAGTTCCTGGAGCCATTGCACTGCATAGCTACCAGACATCCTGTGTTGGATACTGATCTGAGTAGGAGTAACAGCAGCTAACACAAAGTGGGCCAGGCAACAGCTCTCTTTTGTACAAGGCCTCAATGCCTATTCCCAAACCAAACCAAGAGTTGTCAAGTCAACTCCAACTCAGCAGCCCTGTGTGATTAAGCAGAACTGCCCCACAGAGTTTCCAAGCCTGGAATCCTTACAGAAGCAGACTGTCACAGAGCAGCTAATGGATTTGAAACACCAACCTTCTGGTGTGTGATTTAAGCCCTGCATCCTCCACACTCCTTGTCTGTTTCCAACTCGGGCCAAAATCCCACATGTGACAAGTTGGTATGTAGCATGTACACACTCCATCAGCTACGAATGAAGGGTTTTGAAATGTTGTGAAGCTATGCATAAATGAGCACACATGCTTATTGTTCTAAGGCACTGAAACGTGGCTTCGTATGCAGTATGATAGCAAAGGTTTGCTAAAAAATCAGGTAAATGAAATCATCAATGCAATCAATAGGCCTAACTCCTTGAGTAGATGCTTCCAAAATTCTAAGAAAGCAGAGTAAAAAGCCTCAAGAATCTCCACAGCACCTGGAATGAGGAAGATGGGAGGAAGTGAGGAACAAAATTTACAGTAACAACCGGTTTCCCAGCATCTTTTTCCAAGGGTAGGGAAGGGAGTGGCTACCAGGTTACCCTGGTCACCTGACCCAAGCAAAGACAAAGCAAAAGCAGATATGCCCTAAGATCTTTACAACTGGAACTGAGAGAAAATTCTCTAACAGACACTCAAGAAAGAGATGTTAGTAACCAAATGCATGACTCTGAGATGAGAATGAAATAAATACTAGAAATGAAATAGACTCCCAAGTTGCAAATGCATTCCTCCCCTTCAGAGTTTGTTCAACATTTTCCTTGGATTTCATGAATTAACACACTTCCCCTTTAGCTTCTGTCATTTATAATCAGATATCCCATACTAGGTTTTACAACTCATCCAGTTTGAGGGAAAATAGAAACTATTTACTACAAAAGGACAAAAGATGGGGGGGAGGGGTGTGGGCAGGGAGAAAAATGCAAC